AATAAATAATTCAACAAAAATATAACTTCAGAAGCCAGAACTGTTTTCGGAAATTCGAGAAGAAATAGAACATTTCAATTATCTTTCCATCGCAGAGGATGTTAATTAATTTCACCCACCATGAATTCATTAACGAAGTCCATAAATTCTGATTTAGTAGGGTAATATTTTGTCCTGAAATTGCACATAACTGTTTTGAAGTTTTCTCAACGTTATTATCCAGGAATATCAAGCCAATTTTTATGCTGACAATGTACATAACCATTTAGAATAGACATGAGAAATTTGAATTAATTTCTTTTAATATACAATGTTCTCATTGATGTGATGAAATTACTGCTGCTCAATGTTTTTTCCTTACACTTCCATCGGTCATAACAATTTTGTATTCCTGAGAATATTATTAATGACATTCTGAAATCGTAATATCGTTTTATTGATTGTCGTGATTCAGTTGAAGAGAAATCTCACTAACTCAGGATGACGTGACAATGTTGAGAGTGTATCCAAAAAGGGAAAGAAAAATTAACAATAGTGATATCTATGAATGTGTTATTTAAAAATGATGTGACCTAACAATTCTCAGAAAGAAGAAGGAAAACTTTCTGAAACTAGGAACACAAAGTTCATTTCAATTGTCCAATTTCATAAAGAGCTAAACACATCTATATCAAAAACATTGTGCTCTCCCAATCTAATTACAATAAATCACGCTACCCATTACCAAATAGTGCATTAAATTTCTTCTCAAATTAAAATTAGATTATCTTTGAAGACTTCCGAAATAGTTTTCCAATACCTGTTTGCAGTAGGGATTCTTCCAGCAATCTACTTCATAAGTATTGCAGTTAGTTTAACAAGGAATATCATAAGCTCTCATAACCGGGACTGAATGAAAAAGAATCCGGAGTATCCTACGTAATAAATGACATCATAAAATTAAAGTTATTTTTTTATTTGTTCCTTGACCCGAATATTAATATTTCTTCTCGTAACAAAATATGTTCAAAGTAAATTATAATATTTTTTTAAGTATGGCAATTGCTACACTAAGCTTCCCACTCGAGAACTTCTCTCTGTCATGCGTTTTCCACCTTCTGGATTACCTCCTAGGCTGCTGCTGCTGTTAGCGTATTGCACAATTATTTGACCTTTTACCAAATATGGAGAGGATAATATGCTATTTATTTACACGAGACGAGTCTTTGAATCCCCTGTGGCTGATATATTAATTATAGCTAAGCCATCAACGACTGTTTTGAGACCAAATATAATCATGAGTAAAGTCGGAATCAAGTTGAATAATTGTATAACCCAACAATACTTCTCATGTAGAAAACTATGGAAGAATTACAATTACAGCACTCTCACATTTTCATGCTAAAAAACCGAGAACCCAAAAGGATTAAAAGTATATTAGATGTGTTAACTAACAGAATGAAATATAAATTCAAATGCTTACACGCTTTATATTTTTTAAACAAAAAAATAAAAATCTTGGTTAGGGCTTTCAATTCGATAATGTGGATGGGAATTATAGAGACAGTCTTCTCGAATCGCCGCTCCTGGAATTTCCTTCAACCGCATCAGGCGGGAGCAGGAGCTATACGTCAAACAATGGTCCACGCTCTCTCCTCCTCTCCGCATCCTATCTCCGCACGCATCTTCGTAGCCGCACAGAGGGCGTACCTCATCTTCCTACAGCTCGTCAAAGCGATCTAGAACAGTGCTGCTCGAGTGGACGGCCCACACGATGTGCCTTGACCCTCCACTTACCAGAGGGCAACCGGTGAGGAGCGTTGCTTGTTAAGTTAGACCGAGCTCAGTGTACGGGGATTCTGTGCTCACATTGCAGAGGGAGAGAAAATGAATAATGAAGATACGTGAGTGTAAAATAGAGTAAAAAGGTCTCTCTTGAGGGCGGGCAGTTGTTTCAAAAAACAAGTATCGTTATCTTTCAAACCTAACCTGAACGTGTGAACTTCTTTTGAGAAAACGCAATTATGAAACCATGATTATTTTCAAAATATTTAATTTTACTGTCTATTTACATTTAGAAATATGATATATGATGTATTTAATTTCACTGAAACATTTATTTCGTTCAGTAAAGGCTTTGGAATAGTATCCCTTTTAAGAAATTATGTTACTGTCAACTAATATCTGCTGAACACATGTTTCCAAGACATCTGCCCAAGACATCTGACAAGACATCTGCCCAAGAATCTGACAAGACATCTGCCCAAGAATCTGAGAAGACGTCTGACAAGACGTCTGACAAGACGTCTGAGAAGACGTCTGACAAGACGTCTGACAAGACGTCTGACAAGACATCTGACAAGACATCTGACAAGACATCTGACAAGACATCTGACAAGACATCTGACAAGACATCTGACAAGACATCTGACAAGACATCTGACAAGACATCTGCTCAAGACATATGCCAGAACCATGTGCCAAACACTTCTCCCAAAGACTTCACCATACACTAATCGTAAAAACGTTTCCAAATACTCCTCCAAGTGACTGTCGTAGGCCAAGCATCCGTGTCATCCGAGGCCCCGTGTTGTGCCATCCGTGCGCCGGCAGCGCCGAAAGAAGCCGGCACGCGCACCGAATCGGCCGGCAGCAATGAGCTCATGAGTTATGAAGGCGGCCGCATGCTCAAGCGCTGCCAGCCAATCGATCGTCCTCCAGGAGGCCGTGGCTCTGCCTCCAACCGCTCGTCAAGGCCGCCTCGAAAGCGCCGACGAGCACCACCACTGTATCTCTGCAGTACAGTCCGTAGATAAAACTGTACCGTCTCCAGAATCGCTGGCGTCATTCAATATCCTCTCACTCATTAGCTCCACCAGCCGCCATTCAGAAAAGCAGGAGAAATGATAACAATTGTAAGCCTGATGGATAATTTCGAGTGTATTAATAATTGTTTCTGGCAGATTGGTGAGGTCCCAATACACACGATACGGCGTAATTAAAACTATTCAGAGAACTGAATATAAGATGGCGGAATCATTGGAACAAAGGAATGTGCCATTGCATATATTTATATATGTCGTGGATCGCGTAGGTAACAATTACGTTGCGCGTTTACGAAGAATTAGGAAAATCAACGGCGTGTAAGCAACCGACGACTGGATTGGAGTTTTACTAGGACCTCGAAAAGCAATACTACAAGCTGTTCGTAACACAATGTATTTGGAGCGACCTTTATACCCCATATAATTGGTCTTCTGAAATATCACAAACCAATTAATATATTCGACGATGGAACATTAATATAATATAAGGCAATGTTAGGAAGATTGTTTACGTTTTACGATACTATTAGGGTTATGCGACAATGCAAGTATTATGGGTTAATGAATAATCGAATTATTTACTCATTAATACTGTTAACTGCTGTTAATCATTTCTTCATTTTTTAAAGCAACAATACGTACGAATGTAGCAGCATAGTCAATACCAAGATAACTATTTACGAACATTCTTTTCCTCGCACAATTTGGAACGACGTTTTCAACCAAATAGTGTTGGTCCTTCAACACAGATGCTTATCACCCTCTACAAGCAGAAGAACCTGAGGATATGCGTGAACCCACACAATGAAAAATAATTTGACCCCAGAGAACTGCCTGCATCAATGTCATCAAACTTGGTGGCCTGGAACAAAGAGCGGGGGGGCTATTTGCTTCTCAAAGAACCAGAAAGCTGTCAGAAATATAATAATTTACTATTTATTAATTTAAAATACCCGAGTGAATGGATATGAGAGTTGATGAAAGGAATAAGAGCGGTGGTAGTGCGACCTGCCACCGCGCTAGAGATCGTCCCCGAGTGACGTAGTGCGTGCTCATCGGCGTGCTGCAAGGCATTCCATTTGGACGCTTGCTCTCGCTGGAGCGTTTCACTCTCAAGAGCTGCATATTGCTGCAACCTGTGCTGCCGGTGAGCTGGTTCACAGGCCAGTGCAATGCCCTCACGGCTCGCTCGCTTCTCGGAAAAGGGAATGACGTGCGATACGGTTGCTTAAATAATGTAGTATCTACAGTATGTTACAAACAGCTAACTTCAACTGTAAGGCTAATATTTCATTTATTACTTCATATAAAATAAATTAATGTGTAATCCAAATACAATAAATAAATATGTAGGTATCTTTAAGAAATTTTTGATCATCACATACTTAAATATTTTCGATTCAATATTGATCGTTTTCGCCAAGATTGCATGGTGCATTTACGTGTATTTTCGTGCCTGCATTAAAAGATGGAATACAAAATATTCTTGTCGTATTTCTGCAATTCCAGTGTAAACCACTCCTTTTCATACCTAATTTTTCACTTAATTACTTTTGACGTTTCATCATCACGGCATGTGTAAATAAAAAAGTCTGATCTTGTAGTCATGAGTCAACCGGTAGATTCGCTGGATTACTTGGGTCGTCAGATCGAATTTTTTTTAAGGTAAACTTTTCTCTCTTTACGTAGATGGTAAAAATCTATCACACTAGACTGCATTCTGCTGTGGCTCTCGATGAAAATTGTCTTGCGGAGAACTTTAAGCTCATCAACTCTCTGTTGGAACTGTTGATAAAATCATGGAGAATTGTAAGCCTACCAACTCTCCGTTGGAACTATGAACAAAAATACAAAGTGCAAGGATGGGGATGCTAATGTCCCCATGATGTTTTACGTAACGCTCGTTGGTTGACAAATGTTTGCAGCATATGTGACGATTACGAAATACGCCAGTGTGAATTATTTATAATAATAATAATAATAATAATAAAATACATAAAATCTGGCTGTATACGAATATCCGCACGGAATTTTCTACCGGGCACGTCTACTTGTGTGTCCAGCAAGTCCACGCCAAAGCCACGTGTCTTCTTAATAACGTCGACAACTGTTTGTCTGTCAGTTCCCGCATGCGAGTGCGAGAACAGAGCGCCCCGTTTCAAGCGACGCCAATAGTTAATGTTCCGTGGTACTCACCTTGTAGGAGCCGAGGTTTTCCACGACGCAAGGCAGCGACGCGTCTCGTCCTAGCGCCACCGTCACGTTGGGGATGGGCTCGATGAAACGGGGCCCATCAGTCAGCGCTGCAACACACACAAACACACAACTTACGTCAGTCTTGCTAAAGGATGGTTGGAGTGTGCGCGGCAGATCTTTCAAGCAAAGGGTCATGCGAATGATCTTCAGAGCGGTTCCCCGCCCACCACTTCTTCCACAAACCGAAGGCAAGAGGGGCTGAGGTTAGCAACTTATGGGGAAAGATAACACAAAAATAGTAAATTATAAAGACGATCCACTGTTCAATTATTCACGAAACATCAAAATACAGTTAAAATTGTAGATGACGTGTACTAGAATAAATTTACGTGTATGAAAATAACGAACCAATTTAATTGGTTATTCAGGCTCTGTTTATCTTGCAAAAGGTGACTGCCCTGATAAAATGTTCAACAATCTAAATAAAGTAAATCGTTTGAATAACGATTCTAATAAACTTTTTTTCAATTTATTATTACCAGTGTACAAAACAACGAAAAACGTGTTCTTACAAGTGAAATTTTGACAATGAGCTATGTAGTAACGTATGTTCTGTTTATAACACATAATTACATTAATAAAAATAATACTAAATTTCAGAAGAAAATGTTCACACTTAGAGTATAAACCTCACTGTGTAAACATATTTCTAATCAATCTTTTATTTGCGTTTTAACAATATTTTCCTTTAACCCTTCCCTTGTAAAACGATACTTGAATATACATTTTAATTTGTAGGCAATATAGTTAACAGGTATTTTTATCTCTAACTGCAAAAAGACATTTAAATTAAACTATGTTATAAGCTCAATTTCTAACCAATATTTTGTGATTTGTTGTGACACCCGAGTTCCTTGACTCTTCAATGCAATTAAATATGATTTGCCTACTACAACTCTTAGTATGACTTCAGAACAACCGAATTGAATGGTGTGAGTTTTCTTTTAACATATATTATAAGTGTAAATTTTATAATATTACTTATTAATTTATACTATTATATATGTTTATTAACAGCATGTCACGTACATATAAGGTCATTCAGGATTTCATTTTAATATAAAAATACACACAACACAAATTATGGTTCACATGGTAACATGTATACAAATCATTAATATATACGAAATAGAAAATAAAAATATGTATCAGTGATCTAATAAAAACCGAAATATTTTCATGTTTTTCATTCAAGTACAATGTCAGCGCGTAAAAACAAAAAGAGAAACTAATGAAAGACCACTGGGAGAAAATTACGAGTTACAAATTGCGTAGTGCAGTACGCTAAATTATCGCACGTGACAGATATAATTCATTCCATTTATCTCCTGCATTTAAATCATATATTTATTTGTTTATTTCATTAACAACCACTTGTCATTAATCTTGTCAACTTTATCTCTCATCAAAAACCTGTAAATACGTCAGCTTACTTTGAACAGTTCACAAGAGAATTTTAGTACAATGTAAAGACTAATGGTTTTGGCCATAGAAAACATAGTATAAGAGTCAGTAAAATAACTATAAAACATACAGATGTAGTTATTTTACAATATGCGTCTTGTACATAAGTAAATAGCTTACATCAAAGCCACTTTCAAGAAGTCATTTGCAATAAAAGGTGGTATTGTTCAGAAATATCGCTAACAAATATACCATATATATATATATATATATATATATATATATATATATATATATATATATATACTTATTGAAAAATTGATTTTGAGTGTAGACTTGAGCAGGATATCAAAAAAACAAGTTTTGTCCGTTTACTTATTCGTGACACGTTTATTGGAATGCATTGGTTTAGTCATTAATCAGTTCTAAGAATCTTCCGAAGACATGCGTACTATGTACTATTTTAAGACAATCCCTTGCACATTGTAGGATACAAGAGTAAAATAACGGAAGAGAAAATCACATTCTTTACAACCATAAAATCATCCGATATAGCTTTGTAAAAGTTCGGAAATCAGAATTATCATAAACGTGTAATAACTCTGTTCTTGCCAAATATTTGCTACATTTCAGAATTTTGTATGTGATTAATTGGAAAACACATCTAAAATCATTTTTCCGAGCTTTAATTTTAATACAGGAATCTTTGTTACGGCGTAGAACCTTGATAGAACGGCGTAACACATATTATACGTATTTACTCATAGACAGTTCAACGTACTAATTCTGCCACAATTTAAGTAGTGCAGATGAGTCCAGATATCCATTATTAGTTTGCTAGCTTCAAAATTGTATTCAGTAGAACTTCCAATAGTTAAAGTTAATAATACGCAGATGTGAATATGAAGATTAATATTGTCAAATGTGTTATGAACCATTTCTTTTGCCATATATTGAGAAAATGTAGTTTTAATTAAATATTAATAAGAACTCTCTTTCCAGTAGCAATGCAATCGTATTCTGCAGTTTAGGCTCTATGTTAATGGCATTCCTATATGCCCAAGAATCCCTAGAAATATTTCATTTAAGCGTGTTTTTTAGTAAACAGAATTTTTGGCGCTTTATACCTTTCAGAATTTTATTCTTAATTTACCTTTATTAAACTTTGTCCTTTCAACAATTTTCATTTTGAACTATTATTTTCATGCGTTACTTTTCCCTGTTATTTAAATTGAAGCAAGTAATTTATTATCAATTACCTACATTTAACTCTGGCATTCTCCCAATATGTTTTGTTTATTATATAATTAAAAGTTCTGAAAAAATATTGAATATTGAACAGGTAATATAATTTTTTTAATTTTTAAAAAAAATAATTATGAAGGTTACAACCGGTTTAAGAATAATAAATAAATAAATTCAAATACAAGACTTTCTTTTCATGCAGACTTAAGAAAGCGTGATCTTCAAGATGGCTACACCTACATCTCAACGTTTAGTGTACATGACAATGGAATTTCTCCTTGCACAACCTCGATAGATAGTAATTAAAGCGTATGTTTTCAATACACTGGGAATATAATTTTATTGTTAACCACCTTGGCAACCTTCCGTCGTTATTTCATGGCAAGTCCTGAAAAACCCGCATTTTTGCCATGGCGATTTGGAAGCGCTTGATCTACCCACGGCTTCGATTCCGAAGTACTAAATTAGAGGCATACGTCAAGATTTTGGCTACCAGATGACTGCATTCCTACTTGCACAAGAATCTCCAAAGCACATATTACATATATCTCTGCAGTATTTGTCGCAGAACACCTTCTAGGCTTCCAGTTTCCATTCGCGGACATTTCCGCAAAACACGACACGATTGTCGTGCGGTGGCCTGGGAGCGCGTGGTCTACAAGACGGCCGCTCCTGTTGGGCGTCCCCACCGTCACCAGCCCCCGCCATCGGCTCCGGCTCTCCGGGAGTCCGGGGACGCTCCGTGCGGCAGGCGCCCCGGGGACAAATCGTGGTGGGGATCGCTTTAAAAAGCGGCTCGCGATAACTCAAGGCGGCCGCGGCAAAACCGGAAGCGCCGGGCAAGGCCGTACCGCACCGCACCGCAGCGCGTCACGGTCCGGTGGGGCGGGAAGGGGAGAGGAGGGTCTTGGCGGGTCGTCGCTGGGCATGGCGGGGTGTGGAGGGACATGGAGGGGTGAGACGGGACGAGGCGAGGTGGGGAGAGGCGGGACGTATCAAGGACCCCGGAATATGTGTTTAAAACAACAACCCCTCTCATTCAAGTCTTTTTGGAAATATGGTGGTTTGAAGTTGTTCTCATTCAATTGAATTGCAAGAATTCTAGTTAATCGTGCCCATTTTTATATTCTTCTTTTTCTCTCCTAATATTCTACTAGTCGTAGGTTAACTTGAAATAATAACTAACGCACAATCCAATGAACTCCTTGTAAAGAGAATTCAGTCTGTTAAAGTCTTTTATTAGTGTTCCTCAGTATCAATAGTTTCGTACCAATATCCCATTGGTTCATAATATATTCAAAGATAGAAATGGTGTGAGTGTAGTAAAACATATGGTCGTAATCTGAGAAATTTGACACAATCTAAGTGTGAAATAACGTTCTTCTGACTTGGGTCTAGTTCGTTTTAAGTAATGTTTTTAAAGGTACTGAATGGATCTTAACGTCCTCAAAGAAAGAAAAAATATTGCGTTAAGATTTCTTTAAAGTTCAACAGTAGTCGGTCAAGTATCTCACGTTAAACTTCAAGAAGATCCAAAACATTCGGTGGTAATCACTATAAGACATGTCGACCGGCAATGCGCACGGTAACTAAATATACGTTAACTTCTCGCTCGGCCTTCCGGGAAACCACAAATTTCCTAGGAACATTACGCCCAGTCTACGTACAAGTCTTTTTACCAATCCAAACAACTACATCTACGCCGCTTGGATTGTTGGTTCCATACTCTTGGAGACGGATTACATGGCCACATATTAACTCATTTGAGCGAACATAGTAGAATTATGGAAAGTATCCGTTTGTTCCGTCCCGGAGAAAGCACTCCGCCCAACAGTGAGCGACCCCACAATTCCCGATTTCTCTGCACGCCGAGGCGAAAGATAGGCGCAACCTCTCCTTACCTCCATCCCCCTCGTCTCGCTCCATCGGAGACCCGATCTTTCCGCCCTATGACATCGGCTTTCTAACAATCGATTCCAGTCTGGCTGATAATCTTTGGCGAGGCCATGTTCCCATACGTGCGGGCCTTTGCGTATACTCCCCGGGTCCTCTTTCTGCAGTGCAAGCCAAATCGGGTACTGGAGCCGTGAGATGTTTACGAAGAGGGAGATTCCGTAACAGAGAATAGAAAGCCTGAAGCCGTTCTACCGCACATTAACGACGAGCTATATGGAGAGTCCAGGTAGTTCGACTCGTGAATCTTAACATTCGGGAGCTCTTTGGCTTGGCTGTAGGTAGTTTCATGGTCTAGTCGAAAAATGACTTAGTAGGCCCCAATTAGAAGAAAAAAAATGCTCCGTACCAAATGCTTACGGCATGGTTTAATTAATAGTTTCTTCGCCAAACATATATTCGATACTAACAATTCGACATAAGAAAATCACTTGTATCTGTACTACAGTAGTTGCAACTTTTTAGGGCTTTGCGTGGAGAAACCAAATAGTGACACTCAAGTACCTTCAAGAGAGCCAATTAGTATTTCGATTTTTGAACTAACGTTTCCAGCAATGTTTCTAGGCTGTATGCCGGAGCGACCGTTAGTCACTGTTTAAAACTTAAGTTTTCATGGCACTCCAAGAGGGTCTACCGGTTAATTTCAAGCGACCAACTAAAACCAATCACAGTTGAAATTCCGAATTACAAGAAACCTTGCGTAGGATCCTTTTCTTTTAAAGACAAAATGAGCGTGAGAAAAAAAGAAACGTGGCAAACTTAAGTGTATTGAAAATATGGTTGTCATTTTCTCAGATCAGAGATATGGTTAATTTTACGTAAAAACTCTGTTCGTACTTTGCACAACCCAGGGCTCATTTTCACATTTTTCTGCCACGTCGGATTAGTTATCTGCGATGTTTGCGCAAAGGTTTACCACACGTGTTTCTGATTCCGTTTATAAGAGCATTAATATTACATTTTATATTTCTCCTGCTTAAGTGTAGATTGACATACTTTATGCAACGTAGAACTCTAATCGGTTCATTTTGCCATATTTCCCACGTTACAATTCTCCGCGTAGACCCATCCCCTGTCTGCCATACTGGCGATTAGTTGCAAGACGGATGGGCTGGACCGTGGGGCGTGCCTTCCTGCACTGTTTTGAGGCATCACATAGTAGCTGCAGGCAGGAGTAAACTTTGGAAATTGACAATCATGTCTCTGGCAAGCTTGATTTAGCTTGTCACGAAGAACCAACATCTTACAGCCTAATGCGACAGGTAGATATAGCACGAAGCGAATGCCTCGAGCTAGCATTCTAATTTGTGGGGGACGGCTCGGTTTTATGAGAGGATTAGCCTCTTGAACATTCGACTCTATGCGTGGAATCTGATATAGTGTTTTTCATCGTATACTAGTGTCTTAAGGTAATTGACATCAGGCGTTACAGTGATGACACGGTGTAGACATTACACTAAGAGCAGCTTTTGACTTTGCTATGTATATTCCAGAAGTTCTTATCTTTTCTTCAATATACAAACCTAGTTTCACGCTGTTAACTTAACCAATGCTTAAGGGAAAGGTAGATTGATTTTCCACGAGTGCCCAATCGCCTAGGGTCATACAGTGGCCGCTTCTGGCCATAAAGTCACTCCATCTAGAGTAAGTATCTATCAGAGCTCAGGATACGGTAGGTATAATGTCTCTGATGCAATAGATCACTCCATCTAGGTTCAGTACCACACTCGCGATGGCGAGCCGATGGTAGTGGCAAACCTAAAAAACTTTTACGAGCTCGCCTACAGATGCTTGGATATAGCAATTAAATCAGACTCCAGACTAAACGACTAAGACAAGCTCGAGCCTCATTAGTTTGACGTTAAGCCTGCGTTATAATGAATTAATTAAGTCCAAGTTGGCCGTGCAGAACCACTTCCAGGTCACAGCGGGAGAGCTATTGCTTATGTAGCCGTTCTGCTCTCTCCTTCGAGGGTGTACATAGAAAAAGTATGTGATTTCAGTCTTGACACATGCGAGTCCCAGAACACAAGCGCGAGATCTGGCATTTGCATTCATTCAATAAGAGGCAGGATAGAGATCTCCTTCACCTGTCCAGTACACAATAACAGAGGTCAAAACCACAACGCGCCCTGTCTTAGTTTCGACGCCTCTATAAGTTATTTACGCAGTGTTTATTCTTTCCTAGCGTGGTCCCAGGACCGCTACGGTGACACATATCCTGCTGGTCTGCATCAGAATCAGTCTACTTATAGGAAGCGTATTTAAAAGATGACTTGCGTATTGAATCAGATAAGCTTTAGTGTGTAACCCGTGAAGCCAGAATTACGTTTGGCCTTACAAAAATACAAAATCGCATGGTCTTCTCTTACCGCGGGACATCTTATTATTGCGGCATACAGCACAGCGATCAAAGTAGGACGGTATAGGAGTCAGAGCGATACCATCAATGAGATTTCTATGTGTAGCCGCGTTCCCTAAACTAGAATGTTCTGATCTATTTGAAGCTATCATAATCGGCTTTTTTGCTCTATTCTTCCTATTGCTCGCGAGTGAGAGAGAAAATTGCATACGTGGTTGTTATCTAGAAGACGAGTTCTTCTATTGTGTTGTTTCCTCGTGTGTCGCCCTGGTCGAGAATCTAGAATCGCGACTCCCACAGGATAGTCCAGTCGGCGCGTGACTACACAGTTGGGGTAGTCATCGGATTGGGTTGGGTTCTCCCTCCGCGTGCAGCTGCCGCTTTGTGGCCATCCCCCTACCGCCAGCGACACTTTAGAATCCTCCGTCCTCGTATCGATGTCGGCCCGTACGCGCGCGCTCAAACAACTTGCCAGAATCGGCATATTTATGTGGACGGCGTAAGCGTCTGTGCTAAGTGAGTATTGATTTGCATTCGTCTTTCCTGCTCTCGCGTGACGGATGATCTTCCTTACTGATGGGGTCAGATGACTCGCCGCTTGGCGAGCCTACATGCCGGCTCGCTCGCCGCGGTTCTTGCCTTACACCATTCGCGACTATCTCTCTACCCCATTCCGGTACTTCTCCCTCGCCGGCTCACCACGCCGTCCGAAGCTCTAGAGAATTAGACGGCGAGCGCCACCGGCGCTCTCCCGCACGATGTCTGTACGGCAGGGAATAACCAAAAAACTCGGCTCCGTAGAGGTCGTCCCCGCGCTTCCAACGGGATCGGTTAAGGCCCCGGAGTTAAAGGACAATTGTAGAACTGTTCTACCATCTTGCGCCCGCGATCACGGTCCGGCGATGCCGTGTGCTGTAGGGTACTGCTTCCGGCATCGTGGCAGTCTGGTGTGTGCCTCCGGTGACCGGAAACTCAGCAAGACTTACATGTGGGAGCACGACCGCGCTCCCCTACATCTACATCATGCTCAGCGCGAGTTCGGCAATTCCGAACCAGCGCCTCGATTCACTCGTCTAGTGTCGAAACATGCCTTGCCCACAAACTCACGGGACTGTCGAACTTACGACTTCGCGCCGTCCCAGGAACCCACTGACCCTCTCCTTGGAAGTACCAGACCATCCTAAATCTTGAAATCTAGCATAGATCGAGAGCGAACTATATAGCCCGGCGACTGAACCTTCGGCGAAAAAATTAAAATTAGAAATCTGCCGCGGAGGCCCAGAAAGAAGCAGAATTTTAGAGAACAAGTATGTTAAAGAAATAACGGATTCAACTTAATGAGAGACGGTGACTGTTTCTAAGCAGCCTGCTATTATCAAAAACTACAATGTCAATCGAATTAAGTGAAATCTGCCTAATACGATACACACAGGGTAAAGTGTTCGGCGTTGTTATGGTCGGGCTTAGCACTGAAACAAAAATTTGAAAAACGTGCGCGGATCTATTAATAGTACATTAATGATCCGAGAATCGCGATAGAGGGTGTGCTTTGCACTATGCGAGGTTTGAAAACGATTCAGTAAATAAATGAAACCATAGTGGGCATATGGAGATAGTTTTTCAGCGTGCACACCCCATTAAGTTAGTGTCACATACTTCACCCAATTTCATAATATTCAGTTCTTTGCAGGCGTTTCGTACGAGAGATTGGGTTCCGGTGTTAAGGTGAGCATTCAGAAACACCGACGAGAACTACTGTTTTCCTCACCGCATCTCCATCCTCATTACGTCACCGCCGGCAACGTCTATGATACCGCGTGGAGGGCAATGGCACGCCTGGTGTTTCCCGGACGTCACGCCTCTGCCGGGCCCTCCGCCGCTAGGTTCATAGTGTGCATCAAGTTCAGACGTTTCCATCCGCTCCGTCTGCCATATCCGGACGAGCCTCCGCTCTCCCTCATACCCCAAATCCGACGGCGTTTTCTCAGGTACACTCACGCTGCCCGGCCGCACCTCCCAGCGATGGCGCGCTGCCTCGCTCCCCCGCCGCCTCCGCCCGGCCGCCCCCGGCCGGCTAACCCTCCTGCCGGCAGTGTTCCGCCCGCCGGCGCCTCGCCCCCGCCCAAGCTTGGCCGCGTCTCGTCCGTCTCCCGCCTTCCGCTCCGTCCTCTCGTCCGACAGGCTCCCTCGCCCCCGCCTCGCGCTCGTCCCCTTGCCCGTCGGCCCCGCTGCCCGGCCGCCCCCTTGCCGTTCCCTCGCCGTCCAACAACTGCCCCCGCCGCCCCGCATTCCGCCGCCCCCGTGGCGTCCCCCTGTCGTCCCCCACTAGCGCCTCACAGCTTCGGCGGTTTCCACTCTACCTGCCTATCGCCCCTTGCAACCCTCCCTCCGCCCATCTAGCCCACCCCACTGCAGGTACACTCTCCGCACGGGCGCGCCGATCCCACAGTCACGGAAACAGAACGAGACACACCGCTATTCGCCGTGTCATCTGGCAGCCCCCGCTGACGCCCTTCGCGCCGCCCCCGCCGCCATCGCCACACCACTGTCACTCTCTGATCTGCGACGACGGGCACGCCGCGAGCCTATCCGCAAACCACGCGGCCGCCCTGGCGCGCGGTCACTCGTACCCCACTTCGCCGGGCGTGCCCGCGCCTCCTCCCGCAGCCTCTGCACGGTCCCGTGCTGCATGCCCGCCTCCGAATG